GGAGCAGGGAACGAGTCCTCGGAGGAGCAAGAGGCAGTGGGGACCCCGGCCAAAGGGACCCCTTGCTGCCAGGGGGTTAAACGCTGCCATGCCCTCCCCGCCGGTGCTGCCCCAAGGGGGGCAGCGGGTCCCACTGGTGCCCATGCACTGCTGGGGTGCAGCTGTGCCGGGGAGCTGCTGCAGAAGGAGGGGACAGATCTGGTGCCCCAGTGTAATGGGCATGGGTGCTGGTTTGGGGGCACTCGGGGCAGCCCTGCTACAGCGGTGTCATCATGTGTGCCCCCCCTCACCCCACCCAGGACACGGTTCGTGTGAACAAGGGGTACAGCAGGAAGACCATGCTGGTGCCAGCAAACACTGCATTTATTGAGCCAAATGGTGCGCAAGGCCCTGGGGCTGGTTCCTGGGGGTGACAGAGCATCGGGGACCACCACCCACCCTGTCTGGGGGCTCACATGGGGGCACCACGGAGAGGGGATCAGCCAGCATGGCTGGAGGTGACTCAAACATCCCAGTACCCGCCCAGTGCACCCCCGAAAAGGGAAAGGTTTTTGGGAGGAAATCCCACCCTCAGTACGTGTATTGGGACCCTTACCCCCAGGTAACAGCACCCATAACACCTGCATCCCATTGCTCCCCGGGGGGCAGTGGAGAGGGGACAGGGGCTGAGCAATGCTACATCAGAGCGCACTTCTCCTTCGCCTCATCCACGCTGCCCAGCGCGCGGTCCCGCAGTGCCGGCAGGTCCACCTCCCGCAGCTTCGTCAGGAAGGCAAAGGTGCTGCTGTCTTCCTCCTCCTCCTCCTCCTCGTCGTGCACCATGGCTGCCAGATCCTGAGGCAGCTCCACCGAGCCGCCCGCCCCCTGCAGCTGAGCATCGTCCCGCTCGTCCTGTGCACGGGTGGGAGATGGAGTTGGGGTTGTGATCCAGGCACGCACCGGCCATGGGGGAAGCAGGTCCCTTGGGGCCAGCAGGGCGCTGTGGGGGCGTTGGGGATGCAGGGGTACACTAGGACTGTCCAGTCCCAGATTCAGATGGCTGGACGGATGCATGGGCGGGCGGATGGTGCTGACAGAGACAGCAGCCATTTGCTGCCCTCTTCAGGAATCATCGCCTGTCCCAAGGGAGGCCCAGCAGCCGCCTGGCCTGGGGCTGTCCCAGAGGATGGAGGGTCTGGGGGAAGACCCCAGGGTCCCACCGTGGGTGGGCTGGTCCTTACCTGGGCCAGGTGGTACTTGTCTCGCAGGTGCATCCGCACAGTGGCCCGCTCTGCCTTCTTCTGCGCAAAGGCCTTGTCCCGCTCGATCCTGCAGCAGCGGGTGCCACAGTGTCACCCCCGGCCTTACCAAGCCCCTCACCAGAACCCACCCCAGCGTCACCCCAGTCCGCTGGCAGCAATGCGGCTGTGCCAACCTCGGGCCAGGTTTGGAGAAGGGGATGCAAAGG